ATAATTAATTAATATATGTAATTATAATATAGATAAAAAACCTGGAGGATATAATAGGAAAGTATTTAAAAAATTGAAGGGTTAAAACTAAAAATATTAAAGGGTTAAAATTGAAAAATAAAATAAATAAATTTTAATTATTTTATTATTTCATATAGGTGGGGGTATAGAAAGAGTAGGGAGAAGAAATAGGACGGGGTGGCGTTAGAATACCCCTTCTTTATTTATGAAAGATTTTAAAACCTAAAAAGAATTTTTATTTTATTTTTTTATTCATTTATATTTCATCAGTTTTTCAAATGTGATGGTTTTCAACTTTTAACGATCACCCACTTTTTAAAAATGTAACTGATTTTACGATAATAATTTTTCTAAAAAAAGTCTTAGAGGCTGTTTGGTAATTGCTGAATGGTTTGATGCGAAATGATTAAGTGGTCAGAATGATTAAGAGGCTCTCATGATATAGTGCAAAATGAAATATAATTGTTTGGTAATTGTGTACAATGAAATTAGGGCTCTTAATGGTCAAGGGAGATCCACGATACAAAATCATTCAAAGAGTTTTAGAACCATTAAGAGACAGACTTTTTTTTGTCAAACAAGATTCATCTTTTAACGATTCAGAGGTTGCCTCTTAATGGAACTATTAAGAAGTAAACAAACAACCCCTTATTTTATGTGATGGATTGCGATGACACCAAACCCTCTATTCAAAATACCACTTAGGAGTTTTTTGTTTACCTCTTAATAGTTTCATTAAGAGCCAGTTTCTGAATCGGTAAAAGGTAAACCTTGTTTGACAAAAAACAAATATGTCTCTTAATGATTATAAAACCTCCTGAATGATTTTGTATCTTGGACCTCCCTTAACCATTCAGCGCTCCAATTTCATTGTAGACATTTACCAAACAATTATATTTCATTTTGCAATATATCATAAGAGTCTCTTAATTATTCTGACCACTTAATTATTCACCAACCATTCAACAACTACCAAACAACCCTTATTTTCACAAAATCGTTTTTTCTAATGTGACAGTTTACATAATTCAATGAATTTGTATATATAGTAACATGAAATTTTTTTAAATCTACATTAGCTGTAAATTTATATATTTTATTAGAATTTATATATTATAATTATTAATGTAAAATATATAATTTATAAATAGTTATAATATATAATTTTTAATAAAATAAATAAATTTGAAAGTAATTTTAAATTTAAAAGCTCCATTTTACTAGCCATATTAGCAAATAATATTGAATTGAATGCCACATCATTCTCCATATCAGTATTAGTAACCAGTTAATGTTTAAACCGCTTACTCAGATACTTAAATGTTTAAAACTTTAGTTTTTAGGTACCAAGATTGAAGTTTTGAAAGTATGTAACCCAAAATAAGAATCAAATTAAAGTACGTTACTTTTTCATGCAATTTGTCCATTACAAAATTCAAAAGGTATAGCTATAACTGAAATCAAATAATGATAACAAATTAATTAAAATTATAGATAGTTAAAATAATTTTTATAAAATCTAATGAATGAAATATATGAAACTGCAGAGAAGGCTAATTGGGCCATTCAGCCCAACATGGCCCAGTTTTCTTAAAAGCAAACCCTAATTGCATACAATAAGAACCCTCCAAAACTTTGAACTGACGGCTTTCATCTTTTTTCTGCAAATCTACTAGTTTTAGGGTTTTGTTTCTTCTCAATCTGCAGAGATGGTAAGCCCTTCAAGCATCCATTTGTCTTAATCCTTATGAAAATTGATTGATTTCTTGTATTGATAACTATGGTTGCCGTTTGTTGTTTTGTAATTTGCTGATTGAAGGGTAAAGGAACAGGGAGTTTCGGTAAGAGGAGGAACAAAACACACACACTGTGTGTGAGGTGTGGCCGGCGCAGCTTTCATTTGCAGAAGAGCCGCTGCTCTGCTTGTGCGTATCCTGCTGCTCGCGTCCGAAAATGTATATCGCTTTCTCTCTCTGTTTTATAAATGTATATACGATTTCAATTAGTTTTATACTTGATTGCTTTTAAGAATATGCATGTGATTGCTTGTGGTTTTATTTGATTGTCATTCGTGATTAGACGAGCTGTGATTTGATAGAGATATGTAATTGCTATTTAGAGCAATTTAGGAGGAAATCGATTTGGTTTTGTTTCTGATATTTTGCTTATTTGATCCATCATCTGGTATAAAATTGTTGTATGCAAACTTTTTATCGTCTGTTTTCCCTTCTAAATGGCATCATCAGTCGAACCAGCAATTTAGCGTGTTGTTTATGCTATTAAATCTCTTTCGGTATCTCTAGAAAGCGATAAAATTGTGAAAAACTAAACATCTAAATAAGAACCATTAGAGAAACAAAGCTGTGTTGTTCTATTTTGATGTGTGTGCATACATTTCAACTTGTATACACACTGATGACTCTCTTAAGCCCAATTATGTTGATGTTTCTTGGATTTTATATGTCGAAAGTACCATATTTACAGCTTGTGGGGGTTCAGTTATTGGAATAAACAACCTGCACACTTACCCTCTGATAAACAATTGAGAGCCCAAGCTATAATCCCTAACATGGAATTGATGGTTTTGGAAGTGGGTTTGAAGGGATCATCTTTTTGGCTCTTCTCTTTGTTCTTCCTGTTGGGTCTCTGCTATTGATAAGTGTCTCCTCTCTGTCTCTCCGTGTATACGTATATGTATGTATGTATGGATACTCAGACGCTCTATACACATTCATACAAGTAGTAGTGGCCCGTCAAGTGTCCAACAGGCATGGAAACTAAGTTTGTCAAATGACAACCATTTCATGCCAGATTATTGGTGATTGCTGATAGAAGTTTTTTAAGTGGGTGGATATAGATACATATGTAGAAACATGTGAAATTGAGCATCAATCAGCGAACTTGAATGTTGGTAAAAGCATTTCTTTAAATGATGCATGCATTTCATAATGGATTTTGATGATTGTTTCTCAAAGTTTATGAAATGATTGCTGGTTGTTTACTAATTACTCTCTCGTTTTAAACACAACAATTTTTACGTGCACATAATGTGATTCTTGCTTACTACTCAATATAGTCATCTGTTGGTTCTATGGAATTTATTGGCATATTAACTTATGGTGAAACTTGTATTTTGCATGCTGAGGATCTGAAAAGTAGAGTTTGTTCAGAAAATTTCAAGACTTTTAGGATACACAACTTATTAGAAATACTAATGTCTGCAACTTGGTAATGGAACTTTCTAGTATCGATGTTTACGCCTTTGTTTTTATGTTTCAGACAACTGGAGTGTGAAAGCAATCAGAAGGAAGACAACCGGAACCGGCCGTATGCGTTACCTTCGTAACGTTCCTCGCAGGTTCAAGAGTAACTTCAGGGAAGGTAAGCTGGTTTCTTTTGTTTACTAGATTCAAATTACATGTAGGTGCTGTTTACTTACAGCTTCATGACCTTAATGGTCAGAGTGGCTTGTTTGGTCAACCATACAGGAGTGTATCTTTATGGCTTAATCATCAAGCAATTTAACACATAATGGTTAATTAGTCTCTTGTGCCTTTGTACATACAGTTTTATTTAACCGTTACCAAAATTTTAAATATTTATAAACAGGCACCCAAGCAACCCCAAGGAGCAAAGGAGCAGTTGCCAGCGCTTAAAAAATGAAGTACAATTTTGTCTGTTTTTTGTATTGATACTATTTTATATGGTTTCCAGAAAACCAATCTTTGGATTTTTTTTGTTATTTCTGAGCACTAGAATGCTTCATGCTTTATTTTTCAATGTGAGAACTGTCACTTTTTATTACTTCTTGCCTGTCAGTCGTATCGCGTTTTCACAGGCTAAAAAGAGAACCATGGCCGTGTGGGAAGCGAACGGGCCCTGTGTTTGTATCTGGTTTCGAGTTTTTTTAGTTGATTCGACAATTCTTGATTTTGGCGTACTCGAATGAATGATATTAATTAGGGGAAAGTATGAGAAACCCAAATGCGAATTATGAATGTACGAATTAATTTCTATTTTTACTGAACCCAACAAAGGAATTCCTTAGCTTACTGATTCTATTGAAACACCTATGTAAATAGCAATCATATAACTTAATGGTTTTTATTTTTTATTTTCTTTAAATAAGTATTAGATAATTACTATTATATTTTTCAGTAAAAAATATTATTATTATTATTAAATAATCTTAACACTTGATATATAAAATTACCTTTATCAAATACTACAAATTTGATAAAAAAATGTTTTTAAATGCAATTACAAAACTCACAACATTGATAAACTAAACTAATTTGTTCATTAAGTTATATATATATATATATATATATACAAAGTTATTTTTAAAATTTAAATAGTAAACAGATTATAATTATTTAATTTGCTTTGAAATGTAATATTTATTAATTGAAAATTGTCATTTAATTTTAACAATATTTTATTAAATAACTATTTTTAAATCAAATGATAATTACTTATTGGTTACAAAAAATAATTGTATAATATAATTACTATGGTTTAATAAAATGGTATGAAAATAAATAAATATATTATTTTTTATTATTGTACTATTAAAAATGTTTTTTAATATTATTTTTCAATCTGCGTTTGAAGTTGATCTTTTAGTGTTGAATGTACTTACTATTTTTAGTGATTTTAGTGTTTTGTTTTTAATGCTTAGGTGGAGATGGTCTAATAGAGGTTTTTATAAAGAACAAATTGTATGAAAAAGTAACGTACTTTAACTTAATCTTTATTTTGGTTAACGTACTTTCAAAACTTTCATTTTTGTACTTAAGATGTAAAATTTTAAACATTTAAGTATTTGATTAACAGGTTGAAACATTAAATGGTTATCATGTTAATGTAGCGAGTGATGTGACATTGAACTCAATATTATTTGCTGGCGTGGTTAGTGACATAGAATTTTTTAAATCTAAAATTAGTCTTCAACAGGTTACCTGAGTAGTTAAATGTTTAAAACTTTACATCTTAGGTACTAATATAGACGTTTTAAAAGTACGTTATCCAAAATAAAAATCAAGTTAAAATACAATTTACCCTTTTTAAACTAAATAATTAAATTTTTAAATCTACCCTAATTAATGCACAAGCAGACAAGAGTTGATAAAAAAGATACATTTATTAAGTTGTTGTTCGGAAACCAGAAGGGTGGTGCCTGATTGGTTTGAGCTTGGCTCCAAAGGTCAAAAGTACCTGGAGGTCCCAGGTTCAAATCCAAGGAGAAATAAAAATCCTCTTGTGATCACAGAGGTTCAAATGCGGTGACTCCGGACTATCTGCAAAGCAGGTGGTCGTCCTGAGATTAGTCGGCTCGCATAGTGAGTTGAATATCTAAGTTAATAAAAAAAAGTTGTTGTTTGGTTAACTAAAGAAAGGTAATTATTGCATGTCATTTATTATGAAGTAGATACATATACAAGTATAGTGAAATGTTTCCCCAACACAGATGTAAAGCAAATAAGATTGCTATCAACCCTCCTGGTTTTTATGTTGTTTAACTTCAAACAGACATTTGAACCATTGCTTCTTCCAAACAGCATCTTGTTGCTGCTCAAGCCATGAAAGAAAGCAGCTATCCAATAAGCAGAAAAGGTTCACATAAAGCAGTTGGTACCTGACCGGTACGAACCGGAAGTTTGCAACTTGAACGATTGGCCATATCCCGCCTTCTACGAGCAACGCCGGAATAAAATCTCTTTTCACATCTTCCTTCACTTGATTTACGTTCTTTCCCGATGCAAAACCCATGTAACTGAAGAAAACTAATAGATCCACCGGCCCAAATATGATACCGTCAAGTGCTACTTTAGTCGCAACAAACCGCATGGATTTGGGTTGGTATTGAAGTCTTAGCCTTAAAAATTGATCTAGCCCTTCATACCTGCAACGCAACAACCATAATCATGTTATGACGCTTATTAGGGGTGTTCAAAAAACTGCTGGACCGCTCAAATCGGTCAAACCAAGTCAAACTGGACCGGTTTTGGTGGTTTGGATAGTCTGGCGGTCCGGTCTGGTCCGGTCTGAAAAATAGTCAAACTGCTCGGTTTGATTGAATCGGATCGGATGCACTTAAATCCATTGGATTTCAATGATGAACACCTCTACCGTCTCTAGTTTAATTCCAAAAAATCTTGAAAATACACGAGAATATTACTCTGTAAAATCCGAAAAGAATTACTAACCAGAAGTGACCAACCGGTCCGACGAACGCCATTCCAAATAAGCTCGTGGTAGCCACACGTTTCCACTTGATACGTAATTCTTGATCTTCCTTCTGTTGAGTTATCGACATATTACCAATGTATCATTTTAATCGTGACCACGGATATGATTTACTTCAATGTTTTATCCTTTCCCTTACACATTTTATGCGGTTCAAAAAGTCCAAATGAGATAAATCCTGAACGGGCCTCAGATTTATCGAACCTATTCATGAATGAATAAGAGAAAATTTTGCAAGAACTACATGTGAATATGATAAACACAAGATGAGAAGTTAATAACTAGCTACCGAATCCCAACCACATTAGGGATAAACAACAACTCGAAGAAAGGGTAGACACCACCCTCTGAGGAGCCAGTGAGACACCGGTCATCACGGAAGAGGTAAACCAATGCATGCAGCCCAATTGACCCAGACCCGAACCCGAACCATGACCTCAGTTATAAGGATTACACCCACACCTCTACCGCTTGAACAAATCGGTTGGGACAAATCAACAACTCAAGACTACATCCTAATAATTAAAGCTCCAAACTGTGACCATTTTTTAACATCTGAGAAGCCATTTTGATTTTCTTTCTTTCAAGAAAGCTCTCAAGAAACCAAGCCATTTTCTTACAAAAATGAGTAAAGGCTGTTTGGTTGGTTTCCATTATGTCCTATATAGATAAAGTTGTCTGTATAGATTAATTTGTCTGTATATACTGGGAAGATTTTTGTTTAGAGAGTTTTTTTCATAGATGGATGGAGCAGACATGTAACATGTTCTTTAATTGGGAGGGACACCGTTAGAAAATAACTTGGCTCTATGCATAAAGTTCTCCGTAGAAGCTTATTGAATACACTTTCAAACTGTCATGTATAGTCAACCGAATAAGATACGAGTCCCGTTAAGCTTGTTAAGTTGCTACAAACAAACCTAAATGTTATATCATTGTTTATTATGCATTTAATGTTTATATAGGACAAATACAACAAATAAACTCAAACACACTTTTCGTCTGTTGTATCATTGTTCCATATGAAGTTTCAGCCACATTAGGGTTCATACTCAAATACCTCTGGATTATAATATATTTCAACAATTAAGAACCCATTTGATCGTAATTACAGCAAATCTAGACCATTTGATAACAACTTACCAACAAAACTAATCGACATAATCAGAGAACACTCTCAACAAGAACAAAAGCGATTCGATCACAAATACTCGCAAACCAAAACCAATTTGATCTCAAAGAAATCAACAAATATTTAAGCGTAAATCACAACGAAATTCTGGAAATACAAAAGAACGAAGAACACTTACAGAAATTGAAACCGATTTGTTCTTGAGAGCAGTGGAATGAGTAACCGCCTGAGCTGCAATATCACCGATTCCCCAAATCAAACCGGAGCTGATGATCTGCGTTTTCACCGGATGTACAGATAAACAATTTTGATACCATCTCCAAAGCTTCAACAGTACCATACCATCCAGATTTCTGAAGCAAAACGAGAAATGAACTGGAAATTTCTAGGGTTTATATGGATTTTAACTGAATGAAAGTTCTGTTCTCATCTTTTCAAGCAATCAATGTAAAGGTTATGAAGACCAGCCTTCCTTTTTGACAGAAATTCTTGCTGTTTGTGCCGAAATCCTTTTCTCGTGTCTCGAAAGGGTTGGTAGCAATTGGAATCAAGAATTTGTACCAGAAACCGAAAGATTGGTTGAAATGCAATTCAGGGGTTTGTTGAAAGAAATTGAACTACACCAGAGTCTCGTTTGTCGTCTATGGGTTATTTAGGACTTTTTCCTACGCCCAAAATAAATTATCCATAAATATTTAGGGTTGTTTGGGTTTGCACATTTCCGAGCACTTATCAACTCCGAGCACTTATCAACTTATTATAAGTCATAAAATTTTAACTTTTTTAGAAACTCTTTATTACCGGTTTGACACTGGTATAAGTTGTTTATCCAAACACTTAAAAGTGCTTATTACCGGTGACACACCGAAATAAGTCAATAAGTTATTTTTATAAGCAATCCCAAACACCCCCTTAGCAAACGATTGATTATTGATAACTGATAATTCTAACTGGTCTTGCTGAGGCTAATAGGGATTAGGATCAAACCAAGACTTATTTTGTATTTAGTTATAGTTGTCTCACTCCTTTACCAACTCAACTATACACCGAATGCGTTACCAACAAATATCTTACTTCGAACTTAGACCCGGAGTCTCTTGCAAACCAACTCTACTAAGAAAAACTTGTGTATTGATTGTAGTTTCAAAATACATATCGTGACGACACACTAAATCGATATGGTTGTACCTTTTACGAATCTAATTTTTTTCACCTTTTCGACAGAGGAATAATACAGTGGCATGTGCCACTGTCCCTGGGATGAACTCCCCTTCCCCATCTTTGTGTTTCGACCAGAATCACCTCCATGTGTCTACAAAATGTATAAACCTATCTGAAACTACTAAACTTTCTCAATCTCACCAAATACATGCGTTAATTCTACTACACAATCTTAGATAAAGTAAGAGAAGTTTACTATCGGCGTTTCATAAAGAGAGGTGGAAAAGAGAGCGAGAGATCAAATTGATGACGAATAAGGGTTGAATTGTGCAACGGGTTCAATGATCATGCGAGATTCCAGCTAGGGTTTAGCCATGGGAGATGAGGTTTTGGGTTTAAAGCTTCGAACTTTCTACCATCAATGTATAGAAAGAAGAAGAAGACGATGGATTGATGGTGGGTTTCTAGTTAGATACTTTCCATCGATGCGATTCTGTTTGCCAACGACTAGTACTCTACAGGCAAGGAACATATGCATTGTCAACTTGTACGATAAAACAAAGTAAGGAAAAAAAAATGTAAAACCGACATAAATACCCTCATGTGCTAGGCACATTGGGTGACTTAACTGTATTTTTTAACGGTTGTTAGTGGGAGGGACCGTAAACATAACAAAATCCAAAGAGAAAAGAGAAACTTGTAAGGAAATAAACTATAGGGACTATATCCAGCACTTTAGTTAAATACAGTGACTATTTATGTAATTTACTCTATAAAAAAATTACATATATATGTGAATGTTTCATGCTAGAGCCAAGTCACGTTCATACATTTCTATCCGCTAAGGCGCGTTTTAAGGCGCGTTTGAGACTAACACGTAGCGTTCACACGGGAATAAGTAAATTAATTAATGGGTAAATTGTATAAAAAATAACGTATTTTAACTTAATTCTTATTTTAGGTAACGTATTTTTAAAACTTTTATTTTGATGTTGAAGGTGTAAAATTTTAAACATTTAAGTATTCATTTAACTGGTTGAAGCATTAACTTTTTTTTCTAATAACCATAATACATAAAAACTAATTTTAGAATAAGATATCCATATCAGCAAATAATATTGAGTTGGATATCGCATCACTCACCAAATCAGTATGGTAACCAATTAATGTTTCAACATGTTATCTGGGTACTTAAATATTTAAAACTTTACATCTTAGGTACCAAAATGAAAGTTCCAAAAAATACATTATCTAAAATAAAAATCAAGTTAAAGTATGTTACGTTTTCATGCAATTTGCCCATAATTAATTTACAAAAAAAAATACTTCATTACACAGTTAAAATGATACAAAATTTTAGATATGCATAATTATGATTCTTTTTTATTAAGCAAATGACATCATTACCTTTATTTAATTTGTCTCTTTTCACAACTGTTAAATATTTGTGTATTAGTTAAGGACAAATTTGAGAATCCGGTTATTACTTTTAAAAGTAAACACTTATTTTAGAATAAATATAAATGAGAACACGTATTTTAGGACGGAGGGGTAATAATTATAATCACAATTCACAAACAATATTGAACACTTCATACTTTTGAAACTTAAATATTTGTATTGTAAATTGTTGTGATAATATACGAAGTCCCAATATCACTCTTTAAAAGAGCTCTTAAGGAAAAAACATGAGGTTTCAAAAAAAAAAAAAAAACAATATATATATATATATGTATATATATATGTGTGTGTGTGTGTGGGGGGGGGGGGGGAGGAAAGGTTCAAACGAGAACTACGAGAATGTGAGATCATCTTTTTAATAAAGACAATCACATGTGATACTATTATTCCATCACATATGATACACATGTGATACTAAATCAGAGACACGGACGATTTTCGATTCGATCTTGGTTGTAGGCCAAGTCGCCCTTATACCACACTAAACCCCCTCACAAGTATTATCACATGTAATAAGAGTGTTGTTGATATAATACTATAATCTATCAAGACCATCACATGTGATGCTAAATCATAGACGCATACAACTTTTGACGCGGCCTAATTCGTAGAACACATCGTCCGCGCATCACAGGGTCCCCTCAAGCGTATTATCACATGTGATAAAGATGTTCTTGCGTTCTCGTAAAATGAAGGTGTTCTTGTTTGAACCTCCGCTTATATATATATACATATATATATATATATACATATATATATATATATATGTATACACACACGCGAAGAAAATGATCCAAGTCTGGTTGATATGGAACTACAACAATATTTTTCATAAATAGGTTCACCTGTTATGACTTCAGGTTATTTGTAATTACTTAGGGACTAATCGTTGTACATAATTTGATCCGAAAACTCACGATTAAAAAAAAGAAGTATTTTGCTGATATTTTAGTAAACCAACTTAAAGAATTACAAACATCTATTTTATGTTTTTGATGTGTTTAGACTGTTTGATTTCTGTAATTTTACTTAAACTGGTTTATTTTTATATAAATATATTGTATAAGGAGGTGTAAATAAATACGATTAATTTGATTCAAAGATGTCATTTAAACGATGGTTAAGAATTTATTTTTAAAACTAAAAGAATTTATTTTATTTTCAATCTAAATAAGCGAAATACAATAATTAAAATTAAATAAAATTATTTCAGAAAAATAAACATATTATCATCTTTAACTTAATATGTATATTATCATACTGTAGTTTCTTTTAGAGTAAATTACATATTTCGTCCCTGTGGTTACATGAAATTGTGGATTTAGTCCCCTAAATCAAATCATTAGATATACGGTCATTATGATTTCATTTTTATAATGCATTGTATGTCTTGCCCTAACTCTATTACACCAAGTTCCGTTAAACCACTCATATGCATTTTTACCTAAGGTGTAACGGAACTTGGTGTAATGGAGTGGTTTAACGGAACTTGGTAGGGCTCTTGGATTTTGTCACTGATATACAATATATGTTATAAATAATAATATTTGCTCATTCTGCTCCACTCACACCCGAAAGAAAGCTAGCTCATCTCTCAGACTGGAAGCGAAGCGCTATGCCGGGGCGGGGGGACGGGAAAAGAAACGGCTCCGAAGAAAGAAATTGGGGTAGCTTGACGACTGACTAAACAGGACATATGGCCAGGCAGGACGATACTTTTCTAAATAAAAATAATATATAAAATGACAAAATGTATTCTAGACATAATGGAGTTAAGTTGACAGAGTTAACACAAGGAACCTAATGGGTAACAAAAATGAATCCATAATAACCCTACATATAATTATTTGAATTAGGGGACCTAACCCAAAACTTTATGTAACCACAGCGACTAAATTTGTAATTTACTCATTTTTGTTATTTTCATTTAAACCCCTCCTTTAATTGAAATTGTATTGACATGGTCATTTGTAGCAGGATGCCACCTGTAAACCTTTTTCGTCAACGTCAACCAATACAAACAATTTTTTGGCTCAATCAATAACCAACTTGTCATTCATCCTATTATATTATTCAATTAAAATTAAAATAAATATTTAAATTTTTTGTAAATTAAATAAATAAAAGAATTTGAGGAAAGATCTTCATTAATTATAATTGACTAGTTATGTATCCGTGAAATATGGCGAGAACCGTGAATTTTAATGATTTTGAAGTTTCACTAGTTTTATTATAGAAGATTTAATGATGATATAAGTTACATTTGGTCTTTACATATTAATACAATTTGAATAAATAAGAATTATGGTTTCAATTACAGTCTATTGATGAAAAAATTGTATGACAATTTAAAATCCAATATATTTAAAATCCAACATATTTAAACGACTCAATGAATGTGTTCGATTTACATTAAGAGCAAAAAATCAAGAGATCGAGAGTTCTAGAGTAATTGAATGAGAGATAAATGAGAAAACTTTTAATAACTTATGGTGAATATCAGTTTGAATCTCACATTGGGGGATAGAGAGAATACATAAAGGTATGAGAGGGTGAAGGCATGAGTGAAATGTGTCAAAAGTATATTAGGAACATAAAATGAAAATGTAATAATATGCATTGATAACTTGTACTACATGTTAATTTAATTGTAGATTAAAAGATTTTAAGACTGAATGCATAAAGTAGTAATACTTAATGCATTATGAGTTGTTTTTAAGACTTTGTGCATAAATGTATAGTACTTTATAGATTAAAAATTGTTTATAAGACTTTTGATAAATCTGGTTTATAAGGTAGTATAGATGATTAAGAGGGTGTTTGAGATTACTTATTTAAAGCAACATATACTTTTATATAAAAGTCCTTATCAACTTATTATAAGTTAGAATGATTTAATTTTTTCAAAAACTTATTATTAACGGTTTGACACTGGTATAAGTTATTTATCCAAATATTCAAAAATACTTATTACAGATGTCACACTAAAATAAGTCAATAAATTATTTTTATAAGCAATTTCAAACACCCCTAACATTAATACAATACATCAAGATATACCGTATTAATTTCTATGATAAATTCCGGTACATTCAATAGATAAGGAATCTAACAAGATATTTTGTCTGCTTCCTTCATTCCAGCAAACCTGCTCCCAACGAGGAAGGAGAAGCTCTATAAATAGCATCCGCCATTTCACTCCACCAAACCTGCTCCCATCGTTTCACTTCTTTCTCGTCTTCAATTATATCTACTTTCAGTTCTCAGACGCAATTACTTCTTCTTCTTCTTCTGATCATTCCATTTTTTTGAAAATTGAAGCTGTTTCTGTTGATTTTGTAGCAAAGACTTCGCTATCTACTGGATTTTTCAAGGTATGTATCGCATCCTGTTTCTTAATATTGGTTGAATTCCTTTTTGAGATGAATGTATTCAACCGGATCTGGAATTTGGTATTTGAATTGATCGATCGGTTGAGTTTCGTGTTCTGTGGAAGTGTCTAATGCATCAATTTATGATCATATCCTCCGTTTTTGCGTTAATATTGAAGGAAATTAAAGTAAAGAGAAATAGGATTAAATTTCAGGAGTTGTAAGCTAGCTCCAACCCTATTGCCGGTGCCGGTGCCGGTGCCGGTGCCGGTGCCGTCCCGATGTCAATCGTCTTAACTTTGGATCTACAACTTTCTCCCACTTAAATGCTTTTTAGCTTATCATTATGTACATGAAAAGGTTTCCTTCTCCATCTAAATCAAGTAAAATTAATTATTGTACATTAATTGCTATATAGCTCTTCCTTCATAATAAGTGATGCTCTGATAATGATAGCTAAACTTTTACAATTTCGGGGGTTTTTAATTTCCAAACTAGCTGATATCACTGTGCAGGGTGATTAATAAGAAGTCCGATAAGATACAATGGGTGAGTCCGATGCCATGATCCAACAGCATCCGCCACACGAACTGGAATCAGAACTGGCACAGCCACCAGATCCGGAATTGGCACAGGAACTGGCATCGACTCTAGCACAGGTATTGGAACCAGTACTACTGGCACAGGAACTGGAATCGTCAAAGGCACCGTCATCGTCACAGGCACCAGAACCAACACTGGAACCAGTATTGGCACAAGAATTGGAATCGACGCTAGAACAGGCACCGGAACCAGCGCTGACACAGGAACCAGAAATGGTACCCGTGGTCCCACAGGCACCAGAAACGGCACAGGCACCGGAACCAGCACAGATCAATCTTCCTTGTCAAGATTTACTTAATGGTAAGTTCTATCAATCACACAAAAAAATCATGTTTGACTACAAGTCGACTTTCTACCAGTGAAAAACTGCACTTTACATTATTTTTGAATTCCTTAACCTTGCTTCATTATTGGGAGGACTGGCTTTAGTGTTCTTAGAAACAGGCCAAGTATGCTGCTTAAAAATGCATAACTTTTGTTATAGGTCTCCGTTTTAGACCCACGAAATGCCAATCCGAAGCTTAAAACAAGGTGCACGCCTGGATAGGACCTGAATTTTTAGAGGCCGTAAAAGTCGTTTATACATGTTTCGAGCCAGATTTATGTTTTTCTTTTTGCTAGTCCATTTTCTATTTGGGCTTTTATGTTTAGCCTGTCATCTCTTTTCAGGCCCGTTTCATTTTGAACTATTTTTAATGTAAAATGGATGGTCACTGGTTCAATAACAGAAACTTATGGGGTGTTTGGTTCACATAATGGAATTTGATGGAATTGGAATCCATCAAAGGAATTTGACTTTGAAAGAATTGGAATGGAATTTGATGGAATTTGACCATGCATTTGGTTGGTAGGAATTGGAATGAAATATCTCAATAGAATTGAAACAATCGTCTTTGTTTGGACCATCCCACATATCGCCCCACCCACACCCTACCAACCATTATATCACTATTGTCGTCATCATAGCTATCACCCCGCTCCTACCACTCCCACCCCCACTCCACAATAGGTGGGGTTGTTGGGGGTAGGCAGGGTGGGGCGAGGCATTGGGGATGGGGTCAGTGGGTGGCAGGTGAAGACTATAGTGGTAGGATGGTGGTTAGTGGTGGGTTGGAGTAGGGTGGGGGTGG